CGATGCTCAGCTCGGCTGCTCCATTCTGTATCCGCCTGCTCCTGGCACTTACCGGGAAGAAAGCGGTTCTCTTGGGAAAATGATGTTTCCTGACCGAAATTAACGCCCGGCATTTCGCCGCTGTTTAAAGGGGAGGGAAGGCCGGGCCGAGAGCCCCGGCGCTAGAGGGACCGGCACACGCGGAGCTGTGCAGGGACAGCATCGCTTGGAGGTGGCACACGGGTTCCACAGCTCACGGCAGCGGGGTTCGGGTGACATCAATGCAAATAATTTCATGCAGCTGCTCTCAACAGCGTGCTAGGGAAGGGCAGGAACTCACCAGGAGGAGCGAGCCATCAGAGAGGCATAAATCACAATCGCCGTCAAGTCCAACCATTATCTCGGCGCTGCCAAGCTCACCACTAACCCATGTCCCCAAGTGCCACATCCTCACACCTTTTAAACCCCCCCGGGCAGCTGTGCTGGGGTTGGACCACACTTTCAGTGAAGAAATTTATCCCTGTTACATGCCTGGGATAGTGCAACACCACAAATCAATCAAGGCAAATCCCCCACAAGTTTTCCCCACTGATCCCAACTGTATTATAGTGGCATTTAAGCAATCAGTTACACGAAACTGCCCGACACAGTGCTGGTTGCTGATGGGACTGGTGGGAGTGTTGAGGGGCTCAGAAGATGCCTCTGAAGGTTGGGTAAAGACTCCTCAGTAAGGTGAACTCTCCTGTCAGCATCAAGACGTCTCTGGGTGTGAGCTGGAGGCAAGAACTTGGTACCTACCAACCCAAATGAGAGCAACTAACTGGCTTTTTCAGCCTAATTTTTTTTTTTGGGCAACTCATGGCTGACAGAGGGCAGGGATTAGACTGGATATCAGGAATAAATTCTCCCCTGTGAGGGTGGGCAGGCCCTGGCACAGGGTGCCCCTGGATACCTGGCAGTGCCCAAGGCCAGGTTGGACAGGGCTTGGAGCAGCATGGGACAGTGAAATGTGTCCCTGCCATGGCAGGGGGTGGGATAAGATGGCCTTTAAGGTCTCTTCCAACCCAACCCATTCCATTATTCCATTATATCCCTTCTAAACTTCAGTTTTTCATCTGCACCATGTGCTTTCCCTTGGCAGGGCTGAAAGCCACACCAGCTTCCTGGTGGAATGCACTGTTTTCCCATGAAATCCAAATTCCCCAGTCTGACACAGGATGTTGCTGTCCCTCTCTCCTCAAAGAACAATGTCCTCATTGGGTCTGGCTTTCCATTATAAATCCCCCCTCAGAGTGAGATCACAGCAGGGCTGTGATCAGGGCATCAAAGTGCCTGTTCTGGCCATGGCATCTCCTGCTTTCCTTCCAAATTCTAATTCCCTTGGAGCTACACAACAACATTTCAGAATCATTTAGTGATATTTTCCCAGGGCTGGAACATTCAGAGCTTTCACCAAAATTCTCCACCCACCAAAGCCCCAGGAATGTCTATAAACTTGTGCAGCAGCAGGTGCTTCTCTATTAGTCCGGAATTAAGTTTTCATCAAGCCCTGATTTCTTTAGAGCCCTATTTATTATTGCTTAACAATCACTTGAAAGTCTATGGGTGGGAAGCAATACAAAAGCATCTTTCATTATTCATTAAGGACAAGTGATGCAGGGCTTTTGGAAGGGAATAGAAAGTACACAGGCTTTTCTGCATTTAAAACAATTATTTCTTATTAATAACCCTGCAGAAAGGTGCCCCGTGGAGATGTGCAGTTTGGGTGTTTTGAAGTTCAGTCTCTTGATCACAAAAAGAGTTTTTCTTCCCCTGTGACATTCCTCAGCAGAGATCCTGAGAAATATTTTGTCATTTTTATTTTAAAAAAAATATTTAGGTGATTATTTTGGGGGCTGTCCCCCTCCTGGGATGGATAATAATGTAGTGGTGATTGTGGAGATCAAGACGTGATCTCTGTGAGAGTCTGTCAGGAGAATAAAAAAGCTGCAGCAGGATTGGGAAGAGGACTGGGGAGCCACAGGATTCCAGGAGAGCTCAGGCTGGAAGGGACATTGAGGGTCTCATTTTGAGGGTGCATTTCTCAGGTCATTGGCATGGTCCAGCAAAGACTCCTGAGGGCTCTTGCCCCTTGTAACTGGCAGCCAGGTAGAGCCCAACCCATCCCTGATCTCCCTGGAGCCCCGGGCTCCTCCAGCCTTTACAAAGCCACCTGCACTGGGAGGTGCTGATTTGGTTTGCCAGGAGGAAACCACACCCAAGCCCTTCCCAGCACCAAGACACTGGGCTGCTGTGGGTTTCCATGTGAGGAACCACAGAAGATGCTCCTTAGCAGCCTTATCCCAGGGAGAAGTGGATGGGGACCTCCAGCCTGCAGAGCTGAGGATCTGCTGATCCAAGTCCCTTGGTGTGCCCTGAACAGTCACACACTGCTCTGAGGATGAGGAAACACAATTTTGCTGAGGTTCCACCAATGAGGAGGAGCTCCAGGGCATGGCCCAGCTCCTCTGGCTGTGCCTTTCCTGAGGATCTGTCCCTCCAGTCCTGAATGGGGGTCCTTGAGGCTGCAGACTGGGAAATGCAGAAGGCCCTTGTCACTGTCATATTTTCTGGAAAAACCTCTTTGCCCTGGATTTTGCTCCTGGGAAGCTGAGAAGCCTCAGAGAAAAAAGCAAACAATAATTATCTGAATTACTTCTGTGTTTTGCTGCTTTGGAATGTGTTTGGAGATTGTTTACCAACAGGTGATTGTTTGATTGGTTTCATGTGAATTTTTTGACTTAATGGCCAATCAGGGCCAAGCTGTGTCAGGGCTCTGGAAGGAGTCATGCGTTTTCATTATTATCTTTTAGCCTTCTGTCTGTATCCTTTCTGTATTCTTTAGTACAGTTTAGTATAGTATTGTTTTATATATTACTGTATTATAAAATAATAAATGAGCCTTCTGAGAACATGGAGTCAGATTCATCATTCCTTCCTTTGTCTGGGAACCCTGAAAATACAACAGGCCCTGCAAGAAGCCAGCATGGGGCTGTGCACAGGCAGAGTGCCATCACCAGAGGAGGAGGCACAAGGAGCCCACAGAGCATCCATGTGGTGGGGACTGTTCCCAGAGTCCCACTGCCAGCACAGCCTGGCTGTGCCTCAGACTTCCTCAGTTTGTCCCCTCCCTGCCACCTCCTGCCCCTGCCTCCCTGCTTGGAAAAATGGAGCAACGCTAGAGGTGATGTCTGTGGGGACTTGGGGCCATGTGGGGCCTGGGGGTGCCAGCCCAGCTGGAAAGGGGAGAATGTGGGGTCCTGCCAGGCTGGGAGAGCCTGGAGGGGCCATCTGGGGATTGCTGAGGTCACTTGGTTTGTGCAGCTGGGGAAGAGAAGGCTGAGCTCAGACCTCATCAGGGGCTGCAACTCCTCCCGAGGGCAGCTCTGATCTCTGCTCTGGGACAGGGACAGGGAACAGCTGGAGCTGTGCCAGGGGGGTTTAGGGCTGGATACCAGGGAAAGGCTCTTCCCCAGAGGGTGCTGGCACTGCCCAGGCTCCCCAGGGAATGGGCACTGAGGCTGCCAGAGCTGCAGGAGCTGCCAGGGGTGCCCAGGGTGGGGCTGTTGGGGTGTCTGGGCAGGGCTGGGGCTGCCCTGGCTGATCCTGGGGGTCCCTCCCAGCTCAGGACATTCTATCCTGTGATTCCCTGGGAGCAGGGCTGAGGGCAGAGCCCCTTCCTGGGGAGCTCCCTGGGGCCAGAGTGCAGCTCCCAGAGCTCCTGTGATGGGGTGCTGCCTGCTGGAACATCCAAAGAAAGTCAGTCTGTGGTGCTGTGAGGTCCCCAGGATGAGGTGAGAGATGAGAATCTGACTCCATGTTCTCAGAAGGCTGATTTATATTATATTATGTTATATTACATTCTAAAGCTATACTAAAGAAAGAGAAAGGAGACATCAGAAGGCTGCTAAACAAGAATGAATAATGAAAGCTCCTGATTGACTCCTCAGGGTCCAACACAGCTGATAGTGATTGGTCATCAATTCAAAACAATTCACATGGAACCAATCAAAGATGCACTTGTTGGTAAATGATCTCCAGACCACATTACCAAGCAATCAAATAATTATTGGTTTTATTCTTTTCTGAAGCCTCTCAGCTTCCCCCCCTCCCCCCCAAAAAAATCCTACCAAAGAGATTTTTCAGAAAATATCATAATAACATGAATCCACCTGTGGGATCCTTCCCTGGCTCCTAATTGGATGTGGGACCCTGAGGAGATGACAGGTCCTTTTAATTCTTTTTATTGGCATGTTTATCCTAGACACTGTGTGTGGCTGGATCCTTCAGACATTTAACTCTCTCACCCTTCCCATCACCCTGTTTTCAATCTTCCACATTTGATTTTTTGTGCTGGGAGATAGAGAAATACCAGTGGGTTTCTTTCCTCATTTTTTTCTCTGTTTTTAATGAATTTTTCATTTTGTTTCACTCATACAGAAAGAATAACAATGAAGCAACAGTGTCAACATAGAAAGAATTTGCACCAAAGTCACACCATGGCCAATCTGCAGCAGCAATAATAGATTCTGTGAATCCCACTGAAGGGAATCATAAGTGGAAGGGGTGGGGAGTGCAAATTAAAGGCTCTGAACTAATTTGTGCTTTCCACACCACAAAGCCCCATTCCAATGAGCTGTTTAAAGAACAAGCAAAAAAAAATAAAATAAAATAAAAAAGAGCACTCTGCCAAAGCAGATTTCTAATAGGAGAGGAGCAAGAAAAAGAAATACCCAGGTGCTTTGTGATGTTTTAAAAAAATAAGTTGCTTGAAAAGGCAGATTTCTCCCTCTCCATCTCTTGGGAGATGCCCAGGATGCAGCCAGGGGCTGGGATCACCTCTGGGCTGAGCAGGCACTGGAGTTGGGCTGGATTTGCTGTCGTGCCAGACTCTGCTCTGCAGTGGCCGCCCCAGTAATGGCTCTGCTTCCCAGGCTGAGCCAGGTTCTCTTTTTATATTTGTTGTTCTTTCCAGGAGGTGTTAACACCAATTTATGAGCTCAGTGGGATGACAGAGCTGGGTGAGCAGCGCTGACCTTGGAACTCACCTCTCGCAGATTTCTTTTTCCACCCCATCTCAAAGTCAGTCTAAAAGCAATAAAAGGATGTTGGGAGGGGGGAGCTGGAGCTCATCCACTTGATGTTAAAGGAGGGAAAACTCAGTGAACGTGATCTCAAAAAGCAGGTGCCTTGCAGGTGGCTGTATCCACACTGCTGTC